TGCCTCTGCCTCTGCCTCTGCCTCTGCCTCTGCCTCTGCCTCTGCCTCTGCCTCTGCCTCCCAAGTGCTGGGATTAAAGACGTGTGCCACCACCGTCCTGCTTAATAAATATTATTTTAAAAGACCAAAAGCACAATGATATATATATATTCATGAAAATGTCAATGAAATGCATCACTTTGTGTGTTAACCTAAAACCAGAAAATAACATTTTATTTTTGCTTTTTAATTCTATGTATGTGTGTGGGCAGGTGCTGGAAGGCAGATGTGTTAGTTCCCCCCAACATGGGTGCTGGGGACTTGAACTCAGGTCCTCTGGAAGAAAGGCATGTGTTCTTAGCAACTGAGCCATCTCTCCAGCCCTTGGTATAAATAGTTTTTAATGGGAGACATGAAGTTAAGAGGGATATGTGATGAAGGCACAGGGGAGAATTGAGAAGGCATGACGGAGATACACTGTATACATTTATGAAATCTTCAAAGAAAAATCAACTCCAGAAGGATATAAAATAACTGGCTTAAAGATATAGTTACAGCATAAGTAGACTAAATAACCACAGTGGCGCATGCCTTTAATCCCAGCCCTCGGGAGGCAGGGGCAGGAGGATCTCTGTGAGTTCGAGACCAGCCTGGTCTACAAGAGCTAGTTCCAGGACAGCCTCCAAAGACACAGAGAAACCCTGTCTCGGGGGAAAAAAAAAAAAGACATAATCAAAATATAACACAGAAACCAAGAAAGAAACAAAACAAAAAAACGAAGCAGGAGAGACGGTGGGGAGGAGCGTAAAGGTAGGAGAAGGGACTAATTTGGAAGAAGAATGGCTGGTAGGAGTAGGAAGGGGGCCGAATATGGCCATAGGACACTATATGCAAGCTTGAAATTGTCAACAACGAGCAAAATAAAATGTACGGCGTCCTAGGTAAGATTTCAGGTCCCAGGGAGGGCAGAGCTGCACCCATGGTGGCAGAGAAGATGTCATCATCCAAGGCTTCTTGCTTCCTGTGTCTGTTCAGGAAGGAAACTGTGCAAATAGCGATGCA